CCTCCGAGATGGCTAACCTGACCCTGTGTGAACCAGTTGTTAAATTAACACACACACACCTGGCTATCAAAGTGGATCCTGGGCACTGCGCTGCAATGAAGAAATAGGAAATGGAACGGCCAGCATGAGGGGAGGAGGAGAAACAGGGAGAAGAACGAGGAAAAACGGCCTCCTCTTTCCCTCCCACCAGGCATTCCATTTTCCGTTTCATTACAGCACCGTGCTGTGGAGCTTGCTCCACCACCCAGATGTCCCCACTTCCCCCAAGCATTTCTTTACCTATCTGATTTCCAGCTCCGTCACGTTTCTCCATCGCATTTTTCGCCATGTGCAGGGAAACAAGTTTGTGGGACTAAAAAAAAAAAAGTTCAATCAATCAAGTCCAACTTTGCAAGATCTTTTTTTTCTTGTGAGAAGTTGGACTTGATTGATTTAACTTTTTTTTAAAAAGTCCCATAAACTTTTGTTTCCCTGCATACGATGGCGGGAAACACAATGGAGAAACGCGACAGAGATGGAAATCAGGTAGGCAAAGAAATGCTTGGAGGAAGCAAGGACACCTGGGCACCAGGCACTGAAATAGGCCCATCTCTCTCCAGCAGCTTCCCAGACCCACCGGAGGGAAAGCTGGCATCTACTGGCATTTACACGCAGCGGCATTCCAGCTCTGGCCAGGAATGGGCAGCCAGCATGGGAAATGCAGGCAAGACACCTGCTCACTTCAGCACCCTCCCTGACCCTCCGGCGCTGCACTGGCGCTTTGTCCCTGGGCTGCTGCCTTATGCGCAGGGCCCCACCACTGTGCACCTGAGACAGTTCTCCATCTCTGAGGTGTTTTTTTCTAAAGTATTTTTATTTTTTTATAAACATATCAGCGTGTGAACAATGTGGTACCTGAGTGCCATACATTTCAATACAAATAAATTGATATTAATCATATTTGTTCCATCTAACAAGCTTATATAATTCAAATAATAATGTACATCTTTGTATTAATTTATAATTTATAACCTTTCATTGTTCAATTATCCATTATTTCCATGTTATTTTTATACCAACCACCCTTTCTTAAGTATCATATCTTTTACTGTTAATATATTTCAACATATTATCTTCATGACAATCACCCTATTCTGCTTATGCTAATCATCATATTATTTAAATATACTTAATCGTACCATCTTTCATAGAATATTATCCATATTTATTTCATTTTTCAAACTAATAGACTTCTAATAATAATACCATTGGTTATGTCAAATTAAAATCTTTCACTGTATGCTTATTCTATTTATAATACCTCATTATTTAAATATTCTATCTTACAATGTATTTTATAGCAATCACCTTATTCTGCATATCATGCATTTTAATACAAATAAAATATTGATCATATTTATTGCCTTTAACTAATATACACACACATTACGTTCATTAAATATAATTTCCTTTCTTATTACTACTTTCCCTTGTTATATAAAAATGTGTATTTTATTAACCCCCTTTCTCTAAATTCCCTCTATTCTTTTTTATTATATTTAATTTATTTAATTAAATTCCCTTTTCTAATCATCATCTCTTATCCACCTTAAAGCTTTAATTATTCATTTTTTAGCTTGCCTCTTGGGTCTTTGTTTCTATTTGCGCCTACATCTTGGCTACTCATTTTAAGTTTTTCTCCCTTCTCTTCCCTTTTCCATGATCTAGTTTTCAAAATATCTGCTCTTGCCCCTGTCTCTCCATAAAAATCTTCCCAAATTTATTTTATATTTTCCTTAATAGATAACAGATAATCAGAGTTGGAAGGGACCTTGTAGGTCATCTAGTCCAACCCCCCACCCAAACGGGAGACCCTACACCATTTCTGACAAATGGCAGTTCAATCTCTTCTTGAAAGTCTCAAGTGATGGAGCTCCCACAACTTCCGAGGGCAAGGTGTCCCATTGGTTGATTGTTCTCACTGTCAGAAAGTTTCTCCTTATTTCCAGGTTAAATCTCTCCTTTTACAGTTTCCATCCATTATTCCTTGTCTGGCCTACAGGCGCTTCAGAAAATAGATTGACCCCTTCTTCTCTGTGGCAGCCCCTCAAATATTGGAAGACTGCTATCATGTCTTCCCTGGTCCTTCTCTTTACTAGACTAGCCAAGCCCAGTTCCTGTAACCGTTCTTCATATGTTTTAGTCTCCAGTCCCCTAATCATCCCGGTTGCTCTTCTCTGTACTTTTTCTAGAGTCTCAACATCTTTTTTGTAATGTGGTGAACAAAACTGGATGCAGTACTCTAGGTGTGGTCTTACCAAGGCTTTATAGAGTGGTATTAGTACTTCCCTTGATCTTGATTGTATCCCTCTGTTAATACAACTTAGGATTGCATTAGCTTTTTTGGCTGCTGCTGCACACTGCTGGCTCATATTTAGCTGGTTGTGCACTAAGACTCCAAGATCCCTGTCACAGTTACTGCTATTAAGCCTGGTTTCACCCAGTCTATATGTGTACTTTTGGTTTTTCTTGCCTAAGTGTAGGACTTTACTTTTCTCTACATTGAATTTTTATTTTGTTAGATATGGCCCAGCGTTCTAGTCTGTCAAGATCCCTCTGGATCTTGAGCCTATCTTCTTGGGTGTTAGCTATTCCTGCCAGCTTAGTATCATCTGCAAATTTGGTAAGTTCCCGTTCTATTCCCTCATCTAAGTCGTTAATGAAGATATTAAAGAGTACTGGGCCTAAGATGGAACCTTGTGGCACCCCACTGCTTACTTCCCTCCATGTAGACTTAGACCCATTAAGGACTACTCATTGAGTACAGTTTGTCAGCCAGTTGCGAGTCCATCTAGTGGTGGTGCTATCTATTCCACTTTTTTCTAGCTTACTAAGAAGTAGGTTGTGGTCTGCTTTGTCGAATGCCTTGCTGAAATCTAAATATATTATGTCCACAGTATTTTGCTGGTCTACTAATTTAGTTACTGTGTTGAAGAATGAAATAAGATTGGTTTGGCATGATCTGTTCTTAACAAAACCGTGCTCACTGCTAGTTATTACTTTACTTGTTTCTAGATGTTGGTAGATCTGGGTTTTTTATTATCTTTTCCAGTATCTTCCCAGGTATTGATGTTAGGCTGATTGGTCTGTAGTTTCCTGGGTTTGTTTTTTTCCCTTTTTTGAAGATGGGAACCACATCAGCTCTTTTCCAGTCCTCCGGTAGTTCTCTGGTGCTCCAGGATTTTTGAAAGATATGGTGCAGTGGTTCTGAGATGACCTCTGCCAGCTCCTTTAAAACTCTGGGATGTAATCCTTAAGGTCCTCTCCGCTAGGCTTATATCAGCCATCCCTGTTGTTTTTATTATTATCTCTTTTTTTTCCTCTTGTCCCATTTGTTTTGTCTGTTCCATTTTTTCATCTCCTCTGTCAGCTGACTCCTCCTTTTCTTGGGCGTCTTGAACACTCACTGACTTTTGCATTGTATTTTCCAGCTTTTCATCTATGTTCTCCAATCTTTCCATAATTTTCTGGCAATATCTTGTCAGTGTCTCCCTTGTACTTTGAATTGCCGACGTCACCTCTTCCCAAATTCCAGTCCATTCTTCTTGATGAAGCATTTTGTTGAGTTTTATTAAATCCCTCTTTTATCCAATAGTCCAAAAATTATATATTCAAATCTACAAAAACTTCTCTAACAGTCCAATGTTCTTGTTTCTTTATCCCCAATTTAGTCTGCCTGTACCTCTGAAATGCACCTTAAATCTTCCAATTTTATGCTTAATCCACAGAGGTCTTTTCAGCAATATTTTCTTCTGTGTTTAATTCTCCAATGAACAGTTTTGGGAATATGCTATTCTTCCTTTCATCAACAGGTGGCGCTCTTTATTTAAATTTCAATATTAAGCCATTTCCTCCATTTTTCCACGATATAAAGATGGTGTTAATTTTTGGGTAAACACTTCCAGAGTTTCAAAATGCCTGTCTAGTTAAATGCCTGTTCAGTTTAGATGTTCAATTTTCTATATTTTTAGCAATTTTTTTCTGTCTTTTTCCCTCTAGTTCCTCCTTCAGTTTTAATATTTTTTCAATGTGCCAGGTCGCTGCTAGGTTAAAGATATTGGGGATCCTTTTCCAGATTCTCTTTGGGGCTTAAAGATTTGAATAAAAAAAGATTCTTCTCACCCAGTTCCAACTGTTCACCAACTTCACTCCAGCACTATTCTTAGATGTTCCACGGCTGTCCCAACTTCATGGCAGCCATCTTGGCCGTGTCTCTTCTCTTTGTCATGGCGTAGAGGGAAAAAGCTCCGAGACTCAACACGAGATTGCGATCTCTCCTGTGGCCTCACAGAGCATCCCTCCTTAGCTTCGCCTCCCCTCCAGGGAGGCTTGGGCATCTATCAGAGCCCACAAACAGGGAGAATCCAGAGCAGGAATGGAGAGGTCCTTTTCACTGCATCTGGTATCATAGTGGTGTTTAAGAAGGGCCTGGCAGTCATCTCTCATGGAAAGTTTAACTGATTCCCACACTTTGCAGCTGGCTAGATGATCTTTGTGTCTCTTCCTACTCTGTAATTCTATGATTCTGTTATTTATACATGATACACTTGCTACCTTTAAATTAGATTCAGTGGGACTATGTTTTGAACAGATTGCATTAATCAAGCAATCATTACTGTCCTAGAGAGACCATTTGCTTTTCTTTTTCTTGCAGGAGACAGCAGATATGCTGAAAACTCACATAAAAGAGGAGTTGATGCAGGGGGAGGAAGATGGCTCTATTTATGAGTCCATGGCTCATGTATCTGCTGACCTACTGATGAAATGTTCGCTGAACCCCAGTTGCGATGAAGAACTCTATGAATCCATGGGTGGTTTGATCCCCAGCTCTACAGAGGACTTATGTACATATACTGCTCCTTATTTATCTCATAATATGATAGCTACTCACTAATGTTAAGCCAAAATTTCTTGTCACTTTAAACGTAGCTATTTTGCACATGGGATGCAAAGTTAAAACATATTTAATTTTGCATGGGAATGTAAGTAGCAAAAAGGCAGAAAGGGAGCATACTTACCTGCAAGCAGCAATGTTCATGTAGTGGATGTTCTGTTTACAGTTTATGGTTTGGCAGACTGTATTCTTTACAGTTTTGCACTTCAAATTTGGATATGGAGGAACATAGAATACAGATAGTCCTCGACTTACGACCACTACAGAGTCCAAAATTTCTGTTGCTGAATGAGACATTTGTTAAGTGAGTTTTGCCCCATTTTACAACCTTTCTTGCCACTGTTGTTAAGCAAACTCTGAAGTTGATAAGTTAGTAACACAATTGTTAAGTAAATCTGACTTCCCTGTTGCCTTTGCTTGTCACAAGGTCACAAAAGGTGATCACATGACCCTGGGACAATGCAACCATCATAAATATGTGCCAGTTGCCAAATGTCAACTGTCCTACTCAGTCATCTAGCAAAGGCCATTTGTTTTGCCAAGGCTATACTTGACTAAAGCTTAAATAGTTAGAGAACTAGGGTTTGACACCTCTAGCATAGAGTATACCATAGATGCAATTAGAAACTTATAACACTGACATCTACTGGGTGGAGAATATATATCTCTACTGAATACTTCTGTAGTTGTACAAAATACATGAACACTGTATTCCAGCACCCCCATTCGACAAGTACTCCTCATGTTATTCCATGAAGTACTGCTGAAAATGTCCATGACTGCAGTTTGTTAAAAGATGTCATCTCTTCATCAGCAGCACTGATCCACTTTAGTTTCTCATGGGTTGGAAGTCTTTGCATCTTAACCCATGAATCTGACACTGGTTTTAATGATACACCAGCAACATAGGACAGAGGTTTGGCTGGGATGCCTTTGTTGCTTCTGGTGGATTTCCTGATTGAAGCCTCTTGTGGCACGTTTTCTTGTACAGTATTTGGATAGTCTGTGTTAATTTATATTTTTATGTCACTTTGTTGCTTATCTTCATGTGACACTGATGTGAAATTTCCCTCAGTTTTGAATATTTGTGTTAGTTCATGAAATTTTGAACCCACTGAAGTTTCATCAACAATTACACCTCTACTGATGGTTACCTTGTTTGTGTCTTGGTGTAGAATTCTGTATCCCACAAGCACACTGTCCTTTGCACGTATCCCATTTTGTACATTTCCCTTTTGGGATATGCACATAGGCTTTGCATCCAAATTTTTTTTAGATGGATCAAATTTGAGGCCTTTCTATTCACACAGTTCATATGGAGTTTTTACAGTTGATTTTCCTGGTAGTCAATTTTGGAGATAGCATGTGGACATAATTGCCTCCCCCCTCCGGTATGTGGTTGGCATATCTGTAACAAACAGCATGGTTCTTCCACTCTCACATAGAATACAAGTCATTGTTTCTGCAATCCCATTTTGTTCTGGGTTGTATGGTAGAGTAGTTTGAAATATTATGCCATGCTTTCTTTTTTCCAAAAAGTTTTTTATTTTTAATCTTTTACATCTCTTTTTAGTGAACAGTGTGATTCCAGGTTTTTACGTTTCCATACAAACATGACCATAATTACATATCTATCTCACATATTCCGTTCCTTATCATATCATTGCATTTTCCATTTTCTATAAATTTTCAAACATATTATACTTTTTACTTTTATTTTATCCAATTTTAATTCATATAACTTGTTCTATTTTTCTTTAATTATATTTTCTTTAATTTTCTTGTTCTATTTTTCTTCTTTATATAATATCTTAAAATTCTTTATTTCTTATTCTATATTCACTATATTCTTATACTTTTATCTGTCATATTTGCCATTTCATCACATATTCTTATTTCATTATTCAATAAATTCCATCTTAATATTAATAATTCCAAAGATTTCCCCCCTTAATTACCCATTTGAGTGTACCACCTTTTTATCTTACACATCATTCAATTTACTCCCCTTTAACTCATATTGAAAATTACCATAATATAATAATTTTTAATTATTACCTAAATACTACATATCACATATACATTTTAGGTTAGATTCCACATGATATTCTTTTCTTTATTCTAAGGCATTTATTTTTTCTAATACATTAATCTTTTCAGCTAAGTTAAGGGATATTTATCTTTTTAGTGCAATTCTCATAGTTCATTTTAACTATATTTTTATTTTCATTTAATGTAATTAACATTCTCATTACAATCCCATCTTTACATATATCCCAGTTAATATAACAATAACTCTTGGAAAATAATCAAATAAGAAAATTGAAAATATATATATAAAAATAAAAACATCAGTTCCAATCATTCCATTTTTTTACAATCTATATTCTTATAACTCTTTATATATTACCTTGTAGAATCCCCCTTTTTATTCCCAGTTTAGCCATTATTTCTAGGTCTTCTAGTCATATGACTTCTTTTCATTTTTTTTATTTTTTTTGCTTTCTATATCCCCTTCTTTTCTGGTCTCCCCTTATTCCTCTTTTCCTTTATTTTTTATTTTTTTTATTTTTCCCCTCCATTTCTGACTCCATTTTTTATCCCCCTCCCTCTTTTGAGCTTTCTCCTGTATTTCCCCTTTTTGCTGTTTCTTTTATCTTCATCTGACTTTCCTAACCATTACCTCTTTAATTGTCCCCTCAGACCTCCAATTTTTAATTTCCATGTCCCGTCCCCCCCGTTTCAATATTCGCTGTGTCATTTGTTTATTAAAGCTGGCCTCTTCTTTAATCAACTCCTCTTCTGGTTCTCCTTGCCCGTCTTTGTTCTCCAATGATGCCATTTCTAGCATTTGCAAAGCAATACTGCACAATTCCATTTTTTCCCATATCATTTCCCTTATGCTTCTTAAATCTGATTTTATTTCCAAACAGTATTCTGCCATTTTTTGTGCACCTCTTTTTTTAAATTTTTCTTTTACCTCTTTTTTCAGTGTTTAAATCCAGTTCAGTTATCCAGTAGTTAGTTTAATCCAGCTTCAAACCATCCACTTCTGTTAAGTCTTATTTAAGTTTCCAGGGTCAAAATAGTCAAATATTCACAAGTTTTGTTGTTAGATTCCTTCTGTTCAGTTTTAAATTTTCCTCAAAATCATCTAGTATTCCCAGTTCCCAGACTTCTTCCTTCTTCTTTCGTAGTATAGTAAATTTACTTTTTAGGGTTTCTGTCTTACTGTTTCAAAGATCTTCTTACTTTGTATCAAGTTCTAATCTTTATAGAACCAAACACTTAAAAAAAGTTATTGAAAGTTTTCCTTTACCATTAGGTGGTGCTCTCTGTTATGTCCAAGTTCCACCTTTTCTTTTCCACTTTCCTTTCCTTTTTAGAGCTTTTAAATTAAAAACAACAACAGTAAATCCAATTAGTATATTTCTTCCTTTTGGCACATCCAAGTTCAGCTTTTAAGTATGCCTATTTAGTGCCAATTGTATAATTTAGTATCATCCAATTTACACAGATGTTTCCCTCTTTCGATTTATTTCTTTTACTATTCAAAGCACTTTCACTTATTTCCTATTTTTCCCCACTCCCTCTGGTCGCCACTGTTCCAATCTTTTTTTTTTAAGTCTCTTTAAATTTTTAAATCCGGGGTAGCTTATACTCAGATATTGCGCTTAATTTGTCTGGTCTCCACTCTGTCTGCTTCTTCACCACTCCTGCACGATCTTTGTCCCGGGTAGCTCTCCTTCAGGGGGGTCATATTTAATCACCATTGCAACCTGTCTTTGGGGGGAATTTACTTAGCCGAGGAAGGGAGATGTGGTTTCCCTCGGCCTGACAGGCGGTCTCCCCCTTCTTCCCCATCCCTCCAAGGCAGTTCTAGCGCTGTTCGGAGCCCTCTAACAGGTACAACACGGATCAAAGCCACACATAATCGCAGTCTTCAGTCTGTCCTAGAAGGAAATGCAACTGGAAGTCCTATGCCATGCTTTCTGAGAATCATTTGTGTGTTTTTATCTGTATATTCAGTTCTATTTTTGTGCACAAGACACTTGGCATTTTGCCAGATTTGTTACTTGAGCTAAATACTGTTCAAGTTTTTCTGATACTGCACTTTTGTTGTGTAACAGATATAGTGTGGTATACCTTGAATAATCATGTATAATTGTGAAAAAATACCTCTTCTTTTCTGGAATCAATTTTTCCATTGGACTGCAAAGATCTGAATACATTAAGTCCACAAGTTTTTTAGTTCTACTGTTACTATGTTTTGAAAAGTTTTTTGTTGTTTTTCCATTTATACAGCTGGTGCATTTCATTGTTTGATCACATAGACTAACTTTTATTCCACTTGCATATCATTCCACTTGGTTAATTTCTTTATTATGTCAGGATTTCTGTGCCCACATCTGTGCCATGTGTGAATGCAGTTTGAATGTTTTTCCTCCTTGGCAGTATTAAGCATCTCATTGCAGTTCAGTTGATACAGTTCATCTGCAATTGTAGCTTTTGCAACTAAGATATCCCTTTTTTGATGGCACAACTGTCCCCTTGGATGGTCATTACATCAGGGGTGGGTTTCTACTGGTTCCGTCCACCTCTGTAGAACCGGTAGCTCTGAAGAGCAGCAGACATAGAACCGGTTCTATGTCTGCTGATGTTTTTGCCCACCTGCCTGCCTGGGCTCTTACCTGACCTTTATTTCCTGCGTTTTCAACTTCAGCTGCCGTGTGAGGCACAGCTGCAGTTAAAAAAGCAGGAAAAAAGTACTCTTTCAAAGGCTGCTTCTCAGCATGCAGCGCTGCTCAGCTGTCCAGGCACCAGGCTGATGACGATTTACAGGTGTGTGCGCAGGATGCAGGGAAGCACATCGTAAATCACCAAACCTCGGAAATCACCGAACCGGTAATTAACCCTGTCGGATCCCACCCCTGCACTACATTGCCTTGTTTTGTGAGCTTTTTCACTGACAAAAGATTAGTTTCAAGAGCAGGAGCATACAGGACATTTTCCACAGGTATCTTTCTGGTGACACTCTGAGAAATAGGACAGTAAAGAAAACCATCTCCTATTTATTCTGATTCCATCATTTGCCCATTAGCTGTGGTGATTTTTTCTGTTTTACTCTGGTCAATATGAATAAAGAGATTTCTGTTATTTGTCATGTGATTCATAGTTCCTGAATCAATACATCATGCCTACAAAGATGACATTTCTTTAGCAGTTTCACATGTATATGTATGATTTGGTCATCTTCTAGGCTAAGAGAGATTGTGCTCTGACCTTTCTGATCTTTCTCTATTCACTCATCTGAAGGGTGTTTTGACCTAACTTCATTTATACATTTCTACGTATATACTCTTATTAGCAGCACCTTCATCTTGAATTTCCCAAACTGGTACTTCTGGTTTGTCAGATTTTCAAATGAAAGCTTTGTTGCAGCTGTGTTACTGGTCATTTCCTTTGGTTCTGTTGCAGTCATCTTGCACTTATTTGCTGTAGCAAGCTATGATTGGGCCCATAACCTGTTAGAAATCCTGTATATAGCCCTACAGAACAAACAGTGCACAGTCCAAATGTGCTTTTCTGTTTAACTGTGACACTGCCATTCATCTACTGGTTAAAGAATATATATCTTTATTGAATAGTTGTAGAAAACACGTGAACACTGTATTCCAACAGTCTGACGTTTGTTCGTATGACCATGAGGATGCTGCAACAGTCATAAGTATGAAAAATGTCATTGTGAGATGAAGCTTATATCTTGCCAGAAGCCCTTCTTATAGGTAGAGATGACCATGGTACAGGAATCCATTTTTTTTTCTTAATGGTGGGTAGATGAGCTGTTATCATTGATGGTGTGTTGGGCCATTGTATATCCTTGAGTACCAGGTGTGTGTGGGGTTAAGTGTGTTATAATTCTGTAAGCCGGTCAGAGTTATTGATACCATTCTTTGAGACAACTGTTCACCTCCAGAATCATTTGTTCCTTCTTTGGTACATCATTAGCCATTGGAATTGAAATATCTCCTATGCTCCAACTCTTATTAGTTCCTATCTGGCTCCTTATAGTTTCTTGATATTCTTACCAAGATTTGTTCTGCAGTCCTGACAAGGAGATCAATATTGCTCATTAATTATTGGAACATTTTTTGTCACACTGTATTTATGCTACAGGAGCTTTTACTATATGGAGGATAGCATTCTCATCTATATATTCAAAGAACTTGCATATGTCTGAGCAATTATATTTAAAATACAGGTAGTTCTTGACCATTTGTTTAGAAACAGTTCAAGGCAATGATGGTAGTGAATAAAGGAACCTATGACTGGTTGCTGAAGTTACAGCCATTACAGCATCCCTGCAGTCATGTGTTCACAATCTGGGCACTTTGCAATTCATTCATACTTAGGACCAGTTCCTAAGCACCCACAATCACATGAACACCATTCACAAACTTCCCGGTCAGTTTTCCCAGAAAGTAAATGGGGAAACTGGCAGGGAAAGTCACAAGTCACTGGAGTTAGTCTCCCTGACCCACATACTCTTCCCAGCCCTTCTGCATAGTGTCATACTGGTCACTCACATGCCCATGTACATTTATGGGCACCTTTCCCAACATACATGGAACTTCTTGTGCATCCCTATGTACCCTCTCCAACCCATGTGGTGCTTCTCACATATCCCTGCTTACTGTCCCTGCCCCCCCCCCCTCTTGCACAACCTTATGTACTTTCTCACATCCTCCTTACACCACATACTTCCCAACCACTGCATCCCAGTGCACCTTCCCAACCTGCCCAGCACCTCTTACACACCTCCTTACACCTTCAGTCATCATCCCCAATCCTCCCCCTCTGTGCACTTCTTCCTTCCTCACCCTGCAGCAACCCCTTATCTGCCAGCCTGGGACTTCCTGCTGTCTTTCCCACTCACTTTGCTTGTGAGAATCAATAGAAAGTTGCCTAACAAGTGTGGAATTCTATTAATAACAACTTGGACTGCAGGGATTCCCATTGCTAAGCAAACTGGTGGTGCTTTATAACTTACAACTTCCCTTAGCAATGGAAATTCCTGTCCTAATTGTCCTCATAAGTTGAAGACTCACTGTAAGCATATAACCTTTGTGTGACATTTTGATGGCCAAGCTTTTATGGAAGCATGAAGAACAAACATTGTTAATCCAACAGTATAACATTTATGGTCAATACCCGGACATGGATTGATTTTCAAAATGGTACTAAACTTTGAAAGGTGTTCTTCGCCTATTTTTAATACAACATTTTTAAAAATAATAATCCTTCCTCATCCTTAAGAAAATAAAAATGTAGGAAGCTACACATATACTTAATATGTATATTGGCAAAGTCAACTAAGTACATGTGTGGTCATTTTTTTCCAGATGTGGAAATGCTTCAGTCAGATGCTAATAATCCTCTTTCACGGACAACCAAGGACTATATGATGCGCAGATTCTTAGAAGGTGAGCAACATAGCAAACTTAACTGAAAGGCAAGATTACAATTGGAAACAATTGGTTTGCATGTTATTCTTTGGCAAGTATCTATCAGTACCCTCACAATCTATGATTGCAATATTATCTTGTTATATTGCAATCTCAAGATGACAATGCCGATGGCAGTCTTAGTAAAAAGTTCTCTTGTAATTTTGATGTTTTCTATTATTTTCTGTGACCCTGAAAATTTATACTCAAAAGATGAAATTTTGAATATCAGACAGTGGATCTTAAATAAGAAGCAGCTTTCTGGGACTAACCATCCCTTCTTTTCAAATGTGGAGGAAATTCTGACTGAGGGAACAGCAGTTATCTCTTTTGGCCCAGCAGAAACAAAGAAGAGAAACAAAAGGAGAAGGAGGGACAAGAGAGAAGACATATTACAAAGACTCAGGGAGCACGGGGGTAAGGAAATATCTCCTCCCCTCTCTGCATTCACTCGTAAATAAAGTAAATGAACTACTACTTTTACAGAGGAACAATTCAGACTTTTCTAACTTGATAGCCTTCTGCTTCATTGAAACATGGCTGAACAATTTGATTAATGATAGCTGTTTGCAAATCCCAGGATTTCAGATTCAAAGAGCAGATAAGAATTATAGAGGGACTTCCGGTTGTACTTCTAATGCTATTAGAAGTGAGGACCGTGAGCTCCATGGCCCCGTTTTGAGCTCGCCCTGTCGGAGGGTTCCAATTGGAGCCATAGCCACCTGGAGGGGTAGTGAAGTAAAGGGGGACTGCCTGGCAGGTCGAGGAGAGCTGCATCTCCTCCCTGACCTGGAAAACCCCTTCATCTGAAGACAAGGTGCAGTGGCAACCAACATGACTGCCATGAAGCTGGGGACAGTTTGGGAACCCAAGACAGTGCAGGAGCGAAGAGACGGTGAATGGTGTGTGAACTGAGTGAGATAATACTTTTGAACTTTTAAATGTAACCCTGACAAGAAGACTCAGAAAAGAGGACTCATGATTATTCTTAGAGTGGCAGCGACCTAACACTGTAGTAGAATTTTAAGGAAGTAAAGGAAGAAAATTGTAAATCTGTTAAAAGTAAAGAAAATTGCATCTTTGATTAGATAGACATCGGCTTTGAATAGGAATTTTTTCTATTCTAGTACAGAAGTCCCCAGGGCTGTATGCTCTCTCCAACACTCTATTTACCAATGACTACATCTCAAAGGATCCCTGTTAAAGTACTGAAGTTTACAGATGATACAACACTCATTAGAGACGATGAATCTACATATAGATGGATCAACTGCACCTGTAGTGAAGCCAGAACAACCTGAAGATGAACACTCTTGAAACTGAAGAGATGATAATAGAGTTTTGAAGAAGCTCTCCTATTCTACCACTTATAATATTAAGCAACACAGTATCAACAGTAGAGACCTTCAGGTTTCTAGGTTCTATTATCTCCAAGGTGAAATGGACACCTTAGAACCATCATTAAAAAAGTACAAGAAAGAATGTGTCAATTCAGAAAGCTCCACTTGTCCAAGGATCTACTGATATAGTTCTACAGTCTGTCATTTGCGCCTTTATCTGTCTGGTTTGGCACAGCAGCCAAACAGGACAAGTACAAACTTCAACGCATAATTAGAATTGCAGAAAAAACAATTGCAATCAACCTACCTTCCATTGAGGACCTGTAGACTGCACGAACCATAAACAGGACTGAGAAAATATCTACTGACCCCTCTCATCCTGGACATAAACTGTTTCAGCTTCTCTCTGGATGCTGCTACACAGCATTGCATGTCAAAACAATTAGACACAAAGATAGTCCCGTCCCCCCACATGCCATCACTTTGTTGAATACTAATTTCCACAGCACTCTCTTAAGCCTAAATATATCAATATGGCCTTGTAGTAGGCCATATTGATACCTTCCTACTCATCTTTCCTAATACATTCTCCTATTTGTACCTAGGATTTATCCTTTGTTGTTATATATTGTGATTAATAATTGTATCTACCCTGTTTCTCCAACAATATAGCCTCCCCCAATAGGAAGTCCCAGCATGTTTTATAGGCATGAAATGAAATTAAGCCCCTCCCCCCAAATTAAGGCCTATATTAAAACATGCAAAATGGGGGGGAATGGTGGGGGGGCTTGCCGTTAGGAAGTACTTTTGTTGCACACCCGGATATGGTGCTGCCTGCGTTGACCCCGATATGAAGTGCCCCACCAACGCTGAGGTCAACATCCAAGCCGCCCGCCTGAAGATGCAAGGGGGGGGAATTAAGTCACCCCCGAAAAGATGGCCTAGCCATTTTTTCGGGGCTCAAAAAAAAATAAGACCCGGCCTTATTATATGAGAAACACGGTATGATATATGATAGATCTGCACCAGTGGTGGGGTTCAGTTTTTTTTACTACGGGCTCTGTGGGCGTGGCTTGGTGGGCATGGCAGGGGAAGAATACTGTAAAATCTCCATTCCCACCCCACTTCAGGGGAAGGTTACTGCAAAATTGTTCCCACCTGTTCCCATTCCCTCTCCACCCCACTAACCTGCTTTCCAACTCCATTCTCCTGTGCTGGGTAACAAAAGAAGACCCAGCCAATCAGCTGGGACACAGGAGGCACAGAATAGATGGGGGTGGGGCCAGTCAGAGGTGGTATTTGCTTGTTCTCCCAACTACTCAAAATTTCCGCTACTGGTTCTCCAGAACTGGTCAGAACCTGCTGAATACCACCTCTTATCTGCATTGTGATAATATGCACCGGAGACAAATACCTTGTGTGTCGAATCACATTTGGCCAATAAAGAATTCTGTTCTGTTCTGTTCTACTCTACGCGACTCTACTCTACAAGACTCTACGCGACTCTATTTCTACATTTTACCGTTTAAGTGCTTTTATTGTATCAGTTATCAGTTAATCAAATTTTATTTAGTCATTGATCAGCAAAACTTTTACTGTATGATAATTTATACAAATTATATAGTGAAACTACTACTGAGATAGATATTGTTCATCAGTGCAGAATATCCAATTTAAATGGAATCCTATACCTCTCTGTTTTTCATTTTCCAGCTTTTGTATCTTACTAATTTTATGTATTGCTTCTTCAATAATTCTCACATTTCCTTATTAGTCCATCTCCATAAATAGAACACAGGTCAGTATTTATATAACTATATTTATAGGAAAGTAAGAAGTGGGGTTAGCATAATGAAAAATAGGCCTAGCCCGTACTGGTTATAGAAACATACAGCTTGGACCTTGCTTAAGAGTATGACCATGTTCTCAACTGAATTGCCAATTTTCTAGCATATATGTAGGGGCCACTTTGGAAATGGCAGAAGACTTCAGTGAACTATGGTATTATCCCAAGCTAACTCCCTAGAGGAGCTGATGCCTTGAAACTTTTCTTTATGAAGAAAATTGTAAGAAATTTGTAGTTTATTCATTTTTGTTTGTTTTATTTTTAATATGATTTCCTTTTCTAGGTGTTAATTTGGAGATACCAGAACCTAAAGAAGGTATCTACCATCAAAGTGAAGACAAAGATGTCTACCATACTGTGGAACAAGACAGCTTTCCCCAGGAAATGGTCAACAGGCCACCTGTTCCTATTCCAAGACCTGATCCCTCCTTCATACATCAAGACAAAGAACCATACATTTATAAAGGTACCGTATTTGCCGGCGTATAAGACGACTTTTTTGCCCTGAAAAACATGCCTCCAATTGGGGGGGTCGTCTTATATGCCGGGTCGTCTTATATGCCGGCAAATAGTAATTGGGAAGCACTGCGGCTGCCCGCGGCTGAGGCACTTTTGCGCACCGTGGAAACGAATCCCGTGAAGCCGAAAGGAGCAGCCAGCCTTCTCCCAGCTCCCAAGGAAACGAGGCTCGCACCGCCCGGGCTCCGCTGAGGTATCCGGCTGGGGCTGTCAGGAGTTGTTACCGCTGGCGCGGCTCCGCGCGGCTCCAGTCCCGCGTTGCCTCGGGAAGGGAAAGGCAAAACCAGGAGCCGCTGCTGCCATTGCAAAAAAAAAAAAAAAAAAAAAAAAAAAAAAAAAAAAAAAAAAAGGAGGTATACGCCTGGAGCCGTGCGGAGTTGCGCCAGCAGTAACAACTCCTGACAGCCCCAGCCGGATACCTCAGCGGAGCCCGGGCGGTGCGAGCCTCGTTTCCTTGGGAGCTGGGAGAAGGCTGGCTGCTCCTTTCGGCTTCACGGGATTCGTTTCCACGGTGCACAAAAGTGCCTAAAAAAAAAAAGTGCAAAAGTGGAAGGCGTGCGGAAGAGGGGGCGAGTATATAACAAACTATATTTTGAGTGGAAATGTTGGGGGGTCGTCTTATACGCCGGGTCGTCTTATACGCCGGCATATACGGTAACTAGTGACCAAAAAACTGATAACTTTTTTTGCTAGACAGTGTAGAGTAGGAAATGAAAACATCAATTTTAACAGATATTAAATAATTATTTCAGAGTTTTTTGCCTCTTCTTTACAAAGTACAAATATAATAAAGTAAAAAATAAATATTAATTTATGCACATGCACTACTTGCATAAATGGAACTTTGCACGTGTACCTGCCACTCATACGCCTAGCCCACTCACGCCGGGCCACCAAGCTGAAAAGATTGTGGAGCACTGCATTAGTTGAAAGTTCTTACTTTCAGGAAATACTCCTGTTGCCTAATTATTGCCTTGTGATTTCCACCCATTACTTCTACTTTTGCCTTAAATAATACCTTTAATTTATACTGTGTTTCCCCAAAAATAAGATCTGGTATTATATTTTTAGGGCTTCAAAATAAGCACTAAGGCTTATTTTTGGGGAAACATGATTTCAGGGTGATTTCAGAGAAACACGATTTCAGCCTGGCTGGGTGCCTCACACACCCCCGGCATGCACACAAAAAGCAGAGAATGTGCAGGGGCCAATGTCCGCCAACAGCTGCAGCCCTCTGGCCCCTTGGTTGGTGCACTCTGCGGCTGCGTAGCCCGCACAGCACAGTTGAGTTGATTACCTGTCCAATAAAACAGACAGTGGCAGAGGTGCAGGGGGTTGGCATGCAGTCCAGACGCGCTGTGTGGGCTGTGGGAAAGAGTCGGTGGGCCTAAGCAGCTGGCCAGCTGCAGGAGGCTTATCTTCATTTTTTGTGTTTCTTGACTTGTGCAGAGCATTGGGATCGCCTCCCTCCCTCCCACACCTTTCCACCCACATGCTGCTGGTACCACCACACAATCTTAACTAGGACTTATTTTTGGGACAGGGCTTACATTAGGAGCATGCTAAAAAGATCCAGCTAGGCCTTATTTTTGGGAAAACAATTGTTCTTGTCTAGGAGACAATTAACATAACTAAAGCATAGGTACATTTTTGTTACTGATCTACTATGAGAGCTGAGAAGATGAAATAATTCCAAGTGACAAGTGCAATGCAACCCAACAGAAATAGTGCAAGTCATATCCCTTGATTATAGTTACATACCTTCTAAGTTCTTCTTGCTTGTCTCACAATCCCTATTTGTGTTTTCTGGTAACCATTTTTGCATGTAGTACATTCCAGCACATTTTAATAGCAGTTTTCAAGAAAACTGTAAGGCATCTATGGAGTTGGCTTTATATTAATTATAGTATATGAAACTAAATAAAATAAAATCTAATATATTAAGTCCTCATAGCAATTGCATAACAACTGTCAAATGTATAATTTTTTGCATAATTTTCTAGTAGATTCCTACAAGATTGGAGATATAAGTAAGGTAGTTTAGTTGTAATTTAGTCAATCCCTTACTCATTGTAGCAGCTGCAGCTGTAGGTGCTGCAAAAACCTTTTGGGCAGATGGCTATCCAAATTAACCATCCTATTGTCAGACTTCTGACGGAAGCCCTAATTAATTCATGAGCCTCGAGCCAAGTTTCAAAAGAAATCCAATTATTTTTTAGGAGCAACATGTCGGCACTTCCCAAGTTCAGTGGCTCTGCCCTACATAATTTACTGCTCACCTATGACCCTGTTTCCCCCCTCCTCCCAGGGTCTGTCATAAATTTTTGGCTGCTGCCGCACATTACTGGCTCATATTTAATTGGTTGTCCACTAAGACTCCAAGATTCCTCTTACAGTTACTACTATTAAGCCTGGTTTTATCCAGTCTATATGTGTACTTTTGGTTTTTCTTGCCTAAGTGTAAGGCTTTACTTTTCTCTACATTGAATTTCATTTTGTTAGATAGGGCCCAGTGTTCAAATCTCTCAAGATCCATCTGGATCTTGAGCCTAGGGTGTTAGCTATTCCTGTCAGCTCAGTATCATCTGCAAATTTGGTAATTCCCCTTCTATTCCCTCACCTAAGTCATTTATGAAGATATTGAAGAGTACTGGGCCTAAGACGGAATCTTGTGGTTTAATTTGAAGGGATTTTTAAAAATAAATTCTCTTTGATTCACAGGAAAGATTTGCTCTGTAAAATAGTTCTCCCACAAGTTTGTATTGTGAAAATGGACCTGAATCAGTTATGTCATCATGTCTTTAAAAGTTTGTCTTACAGTGATAAAAATTTCTGTTCATATAGTCTAGAACTCTACCTTTTAAAATGTATTTAAATTCTGGGTACTCCTCTGAGTTTTGGTCCTATTTGTGTTTATATTTCTTTTGATGTTATGTTTAACATGATTTATATTTCAATACTATTTATAACATTTTTCAATTTGTGCTATTTACACAACTTTATATTATGAACTTTTAAAATGTTTTAAATAAATTGTACATGTTCAGTATTTGCAGGAAAAGATCAAGAGAAAGCTGGGAATCTTTATGTTTCTGCAAAAAATATTGGCAAAGGTGAGTCATGATTACAGAATTTTTGCAGTTTTTTGACAGGTTATTATTATAAGTTTTACTGAGAGTTAATGCTATTCAGCATAGATTAGCATAGCTGAGCCATGTTGGTTAATGTGGCTAAAACAAGAAATGGCAATGTGATATAAGAGCTTCTACCTTAGAGCAGGGTTGTCAAACTCGCGGCGTCACGGTGGTGTCACGTGACAAATCAGGACTTTTTCCCCCTTTGCTAAACCAGGCAAGGGTGGGGCCAGCATGTGACACATCCAGCCCATAGGCCATGAGTTTGACATCTCTGCCTTAGAGGAACATAAGTAGCCATGCAAGATATTGATGTGATTCCTCTTCTATCTAAAGTGGTGAACTGTCTTAATAACATTTCTCTTCTCTGTTTTTACATAATCTCAGAAAAGCACACTCTCTGATTCTTAATCATACTTGACAGGTCTCCAGACATTTCTAGAAATACTGCTAAATTTACTACACTATCATATGTTAAATTGTGTAGTAGTTTTGGGAACTTCAGAAGTTTCATAAATTCGGCTGTGCAGATTTCTTGATATTTATAATTGGTTTTATTGCTTTCTCATACAAGGATTATTTTGGTCTTCAGTGTAATTTAACTAAATAAATAGACGAGTCTGGAAAAAGTGCATGCAGACTAAAAAAATCTCTGGAGAAGCAGACACAGCATTGTGGGGATGACTGGTGGACAGACAATTTCTGGGCAGCAGAGCCTCTTCACATGAGAGATTAAAAAATCTTCCACCTATATTTCAAACAGCTACTTTTTATAAGGAGACTGCAGGAATTAAACGTACTGCAACACAGGCATTTAAGGATACTGGGTATGGATCTCCCTTTCTTAACCACATTTGGATATAATCAGTTTATAGAGAGAAATCTTTAAATCAGCAGGAAGAAGAAAAAACCACTTAGTGAATCAGCCTTCCTTATAGATTAAAGACAGAAAAAATAATAATTTCAAGAATTTTAAATTAATATTAAAAAGTTTAATTCTATTTGAACAGTTTAAATTTATTTTGGAAAAAGCGCTTTTAATACTATTTGGAAATAATTAGACAAATAGACCATGGCTTCGTGGGAATGCTTATTGTTTAATATCAAAGGGAAAAGGCAATTATTGGATTTTACAAAAATAAAGAAATAAATGTAATATGAGATAGATTGTGTGACTCAATGGAATGCCAATTTGGACTGAAGCCTTAAGGGCACAGAAAAGGCAAAAAAAATGGTCAGGACTTTTGGGGAAGAAATGATGAACTGGAGACAGTGGTGGAATGAAGAGCTGGCAATGAGCCAGCAGTCTCTAGCAGAGTTAGTGGTCAAGGGAGACTTTGCTCAAACTGCCATTGCTGCCTTTCCAAAGGACACTGGGTTCCCATACTTCCTTTTCTAATTTGGAAGTTGAGTCATGACAACTGGTTTTCTTTTTTCTTTTGGTTTGAAACATTTTGCTGCTTATCCAAGTAGCTTCTTCAGTCTGAGCAACTTGGACTCTGTATGTGTCTTCCAGTAGTTTCATTTCTCATCTAATCTGAATAAACTTGTTAGGTGAGTAGGCAGAGTAGTGGTTTGATGGGCTTGAAGAAGACAGTTATGTGGTGTTTTCCAAATATTTCTGTTCTTCAAACTTGAATCAGAGGTTTGTCCACCCTAAAGATCGGACACCAGAACATAAGAGTAATGTATGTAGTGTATGCAGTCCAGTTCAGTGAGAGTATGCAGAGCTGTAGGAGAAACTACATTGTCATGCCCCTGGTGGAGACTGACTCTGAGGGAGAGGAGGAACAGCCAACAGGTAGTGGAAGTGTGGCTCCAGAGGTGGTGGAGGAGGCTAGGGAACGGCAGAGGCTGGCTGAGCAGTCAGAGGAGGACCCAGGCCCATCCCCTATCCATCCTAGGTCACGCAGGGAGGAGAGGATCAGGGAAAAACATAGTCTACTCGGGAGGAGAAGGCCATGATCCTCTTCATGGGTTGCAGGTGTGAGATCTGCATAAGAGTTTGGACCTGCATGCTAACAAATGCTGGAGACAAATTAGTGTTTTATTCCTAGATGAGGTTTATCTTGGTTGGCGTTCTTCCAACGGACTGTACCTGGTTATATTCCTGAAGTTTGTAATTATTTATCCTGGTCTGTCGTGGAACTTTATTTAGTACGGTTTGTTTTTGGTTTTTGCTTCGTTACCTGCTCTTTGAATTTGAACTGTTTCTTTCGTTTGGAATGTTATTTTGAAGATAGTTTAATCTTCAGCGGTGGACAATTAAACAGCGAAGCCAAGTTGAAGGCATTAAAGGACTTTTATTTATGTTTTGGTTTTTGTTATATTTTTGATACACTCCAGGTCATCACATAAATAGCCTTTACACAAGAAGATGGCTCAACACAGGAGAAGCAATACCATAGGACAGGGGTGTCAAACTCGCGGGCCATGGGCCAGTGCATCACATGCTGGCCACCCCCACCCCCAGTTTAGCAAATGGGGAAAATGTCACGCTACACCATGTGACAACAATGTGATGCTACAAGTTTGACACCCCTGCCATAGGACTAGAATCAGCACTGTACCTTCATTTAAAAGAAAGGAGACACTTTTGAATACCATAATGTTCATTTTTTGGGCAGGGAAGATAGATAGTTTGAGAGAGGAGTGAAGGAATCCATTTATGCCAAAGTGGAAAATCTTTCTCTCAACAGAAATAGAGGTCTCAGACACAATCTGTGCCTCGTTTTTTATGCTGCTCTTACATCAGGCCCGAGGAAAATCAAGACTACTTTGCAGGTTCACTAAGGAGTCTATACCAAACGACCCCTTAGGAGAAATGAGCAACAAGTCTCTCCTACTCACCTAACGAGCCTATTTAGATTAGGTAAGAAATGAAACTACCCTGGAGAACATATATGGGATCCCTCTCACCAACTTGCTCAGACTGAAGATGGTCTACCTTGATGAGCAACAAAACATTTCAAACAAGAAAAAAAAGAAGTCCAGTTGCCCTGACTCAACTTCCAGACAACTCTACGTGGATGACTGAGAATCGTCATCGACATATTCCTTTTATAATCACTTTCAGAAATTGCTTGTTAACTGCTTTTCAGCTGTTAGGAACATTTGGATCAACACATTTTACAGCACAGGGTGAGTTTCTTTCAATCTTTAGTGAAAGAAGTTTAAGTACTAGTTTAAGAACTTTGAAAAATATTTTGGAATAAACAGCAACAAGATGATTAGAATTTTGATTTGGAAATTTTCAAACTGACTAAGGGTCCAAATGGATTTAAAATAAGATTTTAAAATAAATTATCAAAATCCTTCCTATATGAAAGTGCTTTTGTTTTGCTAGGCTAGAACTTTAAAGGTTGACAACTCTAAGGAATCAAAAGGAACTAAAGATTACAATTAAAGGATAAGAATGGAATAAGGAGTAAGTTTTATTGGAGAAGATTGAGACATTGGAAAATGGATTTAAAAATGAAAGGCTACAAAAGAATAATATGAAAAAAGATGTTACACTAGGTATACAAATGAAGCCTTATTATGATATCTTAATAATTAAAAAGGATATGCATATAACAAACCAAAAGAGTGACCTGGGTAACTTCCCTACATTGGATTTACAAAAGAGATTTTTTTAAACTTTGAAGAATTTTGTGAGAAGGAACAAAGAAAAAAAATGAAAAGAAAAGTTCTAGGACATTATTTGAAGAGATTAAAGATCAAAATTGTTAAAATGAAGGAATAAAAAGTTAATGTATTTGATCAATGGTGTTATTTCGGGTAACCCTTAATGGATGCTGATCAAGACTGAATGATGAGGTCTTAAGGATTTTGTAGATAAGATATAGGATATGAGAAGAAGAGATTATTTGTTGTATTATAAAAGAAGATAAAAAGTTCATAGATTGTTTATACCTGTGGTATTGAAGAGAGAAGTCATTCATACATATATTCAGATATATATTCGTATGTATGTATGTTTGTATGGTATTCAGCTTTGTTCGGGTATTTTCCCAGGTCCTTATAGTTGTGCTTTTAAAGTTGTAACAACGTTTCGGCAGAATCATCAGGCTTATGTATTGGGTTCGTCTGTGTGTCAGGCTTTCACAGCCATTTCTGTTTTAAATTTGGTGCCAGCCTCGTGCTTTGTTAGAATGGTTTTTTCTTCATCCTGATTGGTTGGGAGTCTTGGTCTGTGTTTATTGGTCTTGGAGTTTGCTGTGTTCTGCTTTTTTTAAAAAAAACACACAAGTTTTATTGATTTTAAAGACAAACAAAACATAAGACATCAAAGTATAAAACCTCCTTTCTCAAAAATTACGTATAAGTTTTAACAAGGCAAATAAAGCATTATTTTTTAAGGCATAGTTCCACATTATCACATTTCCATTTAAACACGTATATATCTTTTCCAAATTTCTCATTGTTTCTCCCTTCACTTTTATTCAATTATATTTCTTTCTATCAAGGTTTTATTAATTCTCAATCAAGCATAAACACACAAAATACAAAACATAAAACAAGACATAAAAAGATAAAACCTCCTTAATTATCATTTATACATGTCTTTTCCAAATTTCTCTCCCTTTAGTTTTATTCTTCCAAGGTTTTATTAATTCACAATCAAAACATAGCTAACCAAAACACAAAACATAAAACTTCTTTTGAAAAGTGGCTTAGCCCTGGGTTACATCTTTTTTTACAGACCTAAATCAAGTTCATGCTCACCTTATATACCATTCATATCTTATTAACCATTCTATATTTTCTATATAACTTCTCCCTTCTTTTCACTCTCCTAATTATATTTTGTTTATTTCATCTTATTTCAAAATCATTATGTTTGTATCTTTTGTCCGTTCTTTTCCAATCATCTATTTATCTCTTCTCTTTAGCAAAGAATTTCCCCTGTAATCACTTTTAAGGTGTGACGCCTTTCCCTAAAGTAACACTTAAAATAATACATAATTTCTATCCTG